GCTTGTTTCTACAAGAACTGGAAAAGAAGATACTTTTTTCATTTTTGGAAAAGGGGAAGCAGTCTGTATTTGACTGTAAAATAAAACAAAAGAAATCAATGCATAGACAGAATCTTCAAGTGAAAATGTTTTATAAGATTTATCTCGGTTCAAGGTGACATTTCCAATAAAAAAGAAATACACTGAATTGTCCTGACTTTGTCGTTATTCTGGTCACACACAAAAACAAACAACATAAACAAATGTCTTGCCAAATTGCTCCCTGTGAGAAGATAACCCTACAACCCTGGAGCATGTACAGGTAAGAGAAACCTGATGAAACTTATCGGTTTCGTGTAACAGGGATTGTGCATTTTCTCTACCAGATCCTAGATCATATTCTAGACAATGTCTTCTCTACATGCAATACCTATCCTGCATTTGCTTCATCCTCTTCAGTGTTGACCTCCCCCTCCCATCCCAACTGACACGCAGCCTATTGACACACCAGAATTACTCGAGGACCATCCGACTAATGCTGTTACCACAGGTAATATCAATGAAACTTGATTGGGCCCACCAATATCTATCTCGTTCATCTGATCCGTTTCGATTTTCTGATTGATTTGTAAGGAAGGTGCACGATTTGTTGTGCTTTGCCTGACAGAACACAGCATATTCCCAAGATATTCTAGATCTGCAGCCAGATCTTACAGAGAAAAATGCTAATTAAAGGCGTAATTTTTTGTTATGTCACCAACATCTTTTTTCTGTCTACTACAATAAAACACGATACTTTTGCAGTGTATTTCAGCCCCTCTGAGTAAACTTGTAAATTATATTAAGCGATGCAGTATAAAAATGTTTCAGACATTCATTATTGTTATCCTTATACCAAACAGGCAAAAAAGGATATTTTATATAATTTGTAAATTCACAGATAACCATGAAATGCAAAATTTTAACGACAGGCTTAAACCGAGTCTAACCCTTTTACCACTGTAAACCATAATGGACTCATCTAAATCAATGCATGGGAGAGTCTACTAAAGTTACATGGGGGTGAAAGGGTGAAGTAACAATATGGCTAAAGTAAACACCATTCCAGAATTTAACATATTACTATTTGTTTAGTTTGTTGGCATTATTTTTAATGGTTGTTGCACTACGATATATCCATCTAAATATGTCACTTACCATTTCATTTCCAACTGACATATACTCATAAATTTATCACTGCATTGGATCTATCATCATTTAATTCACAGCTATCATTTGTAACCGCACAATTGTTACCACAACCATTTCAGATTTTTTCTTTCTTTTCTAAATTTATAGTGTTATCCAATTCTAGTTAGCTTACCTGCTTTGCATATTTTGTATGTTAATTGATAACGAATAAAACCTTTCTATGTATGAAGTTAACGAGCTAGTTTACACATACTTCCTGTTTACCTCTGCAGCTTGTCTTTCCCCTGGCTGGATTGTGGTTTTGACAGCCAATAAAATACACTGTCACTATGTATAATGTGTATATATATATGTGTACCTGTTTCAACTATTTACCTTTTGTGTCCAATTATCAGATGTCAACTTAGTTGCAAAAAGATTCAACCATTATTCTAAGCTTCAGCTTGATGTCTCTAGCTATATATACCTGGATTGCTATTTCAACACTTTAGGGTGTGTGTATAGTACACACAGGTATACACACAGTTAGGTCAGTCAAGGTCCCATATCATCTGTCAGGGAATTCTTAAGATTTTCTGTACAGGTAAGGTACACTGTGTATACTGCAGGTTAATGTGTAGGTATACAGACATAAATATTCACCAGGTAGAATCCAGTTCATATAGCAGTGTCAAGAATGCTTGGTATGCTATCTGTATAATTAGCAATTAGATGGCTGTGATAATTTAACCCTGGACAGGTATATATTAATGCAGTAAAGGGTTTATATATATATATCTATCACAATAGATATCCTTTCATAATTCTGTCAACTTCGCTTTCTTATGTTGAAAGGACAAAGATTTACTACAGTGTTGTTTTTATTCCAGAGAATGTCATAAATTAAATTCAAATAAAGTTGACAATTCATGTGCAATACAAATGAAATAATGACGAGAATTAAGAAAACAATTTTTGTATCAAAAGGAGAAATTATTCAAAATGGAAATCTCTAGATAATGTAAAAAGAAAAAAACTGCAATAAGAGAAAGAAATGATAAAGGGGGAGTGTGACATGTTTTACGAATTAATTAGCTTATGGCTCCTTTCACAAACAGTAAAAAAAATCAAATTACATGGTACACTCAAATTATACATTTGTCAGACAGTTAATAATAATGATTATGACTGAATAGGTGGTATGTCTAACAACATGTTTAAAATACCTAAGGTTTTCACTGGAATGACATAATTACTTGTTGCTATTTATAGGTATACGCAATAAAGTAAAAAGTTCCAAGTTAAAAAAGGAAGCTTACTCACTGGTGACAAGTGATGTATATAAAACATGATTCATTAATACAAAGATTGTTTATAGTTTGATACATCTTCCCCTTGCTGTACATTTAATGGTATTTTTTTATGGTTTAACCCCTCCCCTTCATGTCTAATGGTGAATTGGTTTGACTTGATCTGTCCATTTCTTTGTTCGACAGTGGTCCTGGTGACTGGACTGTCTTAGCTTTCAAATAAATTGAAACCGAGCAACAAGTCAGGAAATAATATAAGCTGAGGTTGACCATGGGTCATTTACTGACCCACTATGACCATCAAGTACAGCACATTGCAGCTGATCCAAAGATGTAGGGCCATATAATGTGAAACAGGAAGAGGTTTAAATTACCATGACCTTGACCACCAAATACAGAGCTATAGCCATATGGCCACCTCAATTTTAATGTATGCAACCATAATGGTCAAGCTCAGACTAAAACATTCCAGAGATTTTTCATGTCCAGATTGCTCAGGTGGTCAATGCATCAGATGTATGACTTTAACTCATTTACCCCTGAAGACACATTTTAACTCTTCCAATTCAAAGGTTTGAATAGTTCATTATGAAATTTCAGGGGTGAATGAGTTAAAACATTCAAGTCAATTTCCAGACATAAACTGAAGAAACCACAATAGAATTGGGTTTGGCTAAGGAAATAAAAGCCAGGAAAACAGTATAACCAGGGGGAAGCCATTTCTTCACACACATGGCCCGAGTGATAGACAATGTGATAGACAGAGATGGGTGGGGAGACTATACCACTTCAGGAAATAGGAAAGTTGAGTATGATGGATAGCAATTTTATCATTATCATGATAAATCAATTTATAATTCTAGCCCTTGTAGATTTTTATACTCCGGAAGTACCGACAATAAACTTTGGCAACCATTTCCTTCTGACTTAAAGACTATACACTGAGAATTGGAAACAATTAATCATACAACACGAAGTAAACATTGAAAAATAAACACGAGAGAAATTCAAGTGTTACTACATCATTGTTTTTCACTGAAAATATGACATCTCAGATATTCTTTAATTATTTCTTTCACCACTGTAGACCATAATGGACTCATCCAGATCAATGCATGGTAGAGTCACCTAAAGTTACATAGAGGTGAAAGGGTAAACTCTTAATTGGGCATTCACAGCATATTTTTATTTATCTTAGATTAATATATTAAGCTTATTGTCTGCATTCATGATATCACCATTCTTCTCACTAGGTATAGATGAGAGCACATATCTTGATTCTTCCCCTTTCCTTTTAGGTTTGGACAAGCGAAAGACTGATGAATTCTGAAACTCTTTGGATACATGGATCTAAACTTACTTCTGACCTGAATGAAGAAGGAAAGATATTAAACAGAACAATAGGAGCCTGGAGGGGGGAAAAACAGCAATTCTGCTTGGGCATCACATTCGGTCATACAATAATATGTCGAAGAGTAAAAAAGGTCAAGTCTTGAACCAGCACTTGTGCATAACTGATGAAGTCAATGTCATCTGTCCAAGACCAACAACTTACAGTTGCTTTTATCTCCACTTTTTGCATAGTCTTTTTTTTTAAATCCTTGATATCTGCACCTGTCATCCATTGTTTTAACATTTTTTTTATTCAACCCTTCCTTTCAGTTTCAAAGTTTAATATTAACTGGTTGCAGACATCTAAGAAATTGGTTGTTCCGGTACTGATATGTTACAGTGCTTGTATAAAGACGAACTTCCCTAAAGTTGTTTGGTCTACGTAAGTTTTTCAGCACTTGCACTAACAAAATTTTGTTCCATTTTTTTTTGTATTATATCAGTATTGCTTCAGCATTTTTGTCTTTACAAAAAAAGTAACAAAACATCCTATTCTAAGGACCCAAAACATCTATAGTTCATTTTATAATATTGCAATGAAGTTAAGTTTTTGTTAATAGGATTTTAAAATCATTTGCATAAAGGATCGTTCAACAGTTTACCTTCATTTTGTGGTATTCTTTAGGTCAAGATGACCCCATTTAATTGAAAATTTATAAAATTCAATAGTAAAATCAACCTACCTGTTCTAACACTATAATGTCTGATATAGATTTTTGTAGTCAGAGGTTAACCAAATAGACGTGACAGCAGATACCCGTACAGATAGGTACTGTCCTGACGGCCTGTCTTACGAGGGACACACATAACATTGTGCGACAGTCATTCAACCTGAACTAGCTTGCAGGTCCGTCCATGGCTTGAGGCCACACGAACTGACCGCTCTTGCCGCGTCAACGTGTAAACTAAGAATCAAAGGTTCAAATTTTAACTTCCTATTTATCAAGACGGAGGAATTCTTGGCATAAAAATACATCAGGATTGTTGTCATTTGAAAGAACATTTGGTGAAGTTTGCTACAGCAGCACGATCGGTTCAACAACAACGGAATGATTTTGATGTCTGACTCGACAAGCACCTTGCATAGGTCGCTTGTAAAGTCTCCGCTTGATTCCGATGAATAGCATACATGATTGAAGTAAAACTCACCTTAGAATGTTGACAGTTTAACCAAATCCAAAAGTGGTTTATCTAGCAGAGCGATAACCTGCTCATTCTTGCTCCTTCACAACAACACTCGGCCATGTTCGAGACCTATTTCTGGTACCCACGTGATAAATGGTGTATGACATCAGAGATGGCACTTTTGTTATGGTGACCCCTAGCGGCAAATATGAACGGTATTCATAGAATTTACACAGCTGTCAGTCTGGTCTCATTTCATTGATTTTTCTCCGCGAGAAATTAAAACCGTTTACAGTTATAACATGGATGCATTTGTTTCGTGATCAATTCATTATTTTGTTACTGGATTAAAAAGCCACACCCCTTAATTACGCATCGTGTTACAGTTTTAATTAGATACACAATTCATTTTTTAAATACTCAAATGGTGACATCAGAGAGACATATAAAGCATATACGTCTCTGGGTTACCTAACCATAATTAACGGTAGGTTAGATGACCATAGTCTGTAGGAGGGGTTTGTGGGCGGGGTTTCGGCCCCCACACTAGACTTTTCAAAGGTATAGTATACCTAGTAGTATTATACTTCGTAATTCCCCAATGTAATAATAAAAATATACAATAAAAATACCCAAGTTTGTATTAATCCCAACCCTTCATCACTAGTCGTTTGTTGACGGGTTAATCGTCTACATGACTCCACCCATGCGGGTTTCGTCTCACTGGCGGGGGTCGGTGCTCTTTACAATATCACTTAGGCCTATATAGGGGGCAAAGAAGTAATTCCAACAGTGTGGACAAGTTTAGGTTGTCAAATTTTCGGAGCGATCCGCTCCTTTTTCAAGACACAGTGAAACAGAACAGTTACATGTACATATACATCATATTACAAGAAGATATAATTGATATACTATAATTGAAAATATAGCTATTATATAAAACCAATAGTCCCCTCGGCTAAAGACAGCCGAAGGCAGCAATTAAGCTGAGAGCATCGCGGACAAGGAACGCTGATGTAGAGGACCTATTCTTGCGCAAGATGCACTGTCATATAAAGTGAGTCAATGAGAGATATCAAAAACGTGGAACATGTGCATTTGTGTGTATTTGGAAATCTGGCCCGGTAAATGTGAAAATNTTACGTTTTTTAGTCGGTCGTTAATTTTATTTTTTCTGTATTTACTTCCTTCACATGGACATTTAATCACTTTTTATTATATATATATATATATATCAATGCAATTTCAGAGGCGGATCCAACGGGGTGTCACCATCGAACGTGAACCCCCCCTCTCACTTATTTTTAATGCGCATATATATATCTATATATATATATACTGCATCTATCATGTGAATTGAATATTCAATGAGTTTTTTTTATTCTTAACTGGTGATTCTATTCATGTATTACGCTGTCCAAGTCACACACCATCCCATCCCACTCAAACAGGATTATAAATTCGGTGATGCTTATAATTAGTTGACATCAATTGGAGGGGTCAGTGAATCGCCATTACCTGTATTGTCGGTGATCCGTAGTATAGCAACAGGGCACTGGTGTTACGTTTGCAAGAAGAACAATTGACATTGCATTTTAAAATACTTTAAAATCAGGAATCATTGTGAGAAAGTTATGTCAGTAAATGGACGTAAAAACATGCATCTAAATACGATCCAAAGAGAGGTAGCGTTCATCGTTCATGCAATTTTGTAATTTTAACGCCAAAATTAACTACGTTATATGAGCCATTCTACTAAAAGATGATCAAATCCTGCCCATTAACGGAACCATTTCCACGGACAAACAATTGGTAGAGCGTCCGTCCCGAGTTCGAACCCCGGTCTTGCCGTGCATTTTTTTTTCATCTCCTGTTACAGTGGCGCCTGTGACCAACCCTTGTTTCAAACATTGGGTTTACTATTGACAAGGGGATACCCAATCCTAGATTGTAAAAAATGATGTTTTATAGTAACAGCATGTAACATAATCGGTAAATGCAAAGCGATATTATGATATATCATCTAGAATCGATACTGCACAATTCTCTCACGATCCATACCTCACAGAAGGCTTAGACATTGAGAAAAGGACATTACATTGGCTTTAATGTCTCTGAACAGCAACACTTCGTTGACAAATTAAAATGTTTCGAATGTTACAAATAAAACAATTGATTATGTAAAACAGTGATGTTTTTTTATGCGTTTGGAACATAGGCTCTCTCATTTTATCGTGAAATTATCTTTCCGAATACGACAATATGCTTCAGAAAGTGATCTACTCTCCCCCTGCAGCATCGAGCTCGGCTAACGTTCGGTAACAGTTAGTGACTCGGATAGGGGAGGTAACTCGTANAAATGTAACGATCAGATTTTTTTTTTTTTTTTTTTTTGCGTCATAAGCGCTTTACATCACATGCATACAGAAATTCTACAGTAACAGTTAACCATAAATAAAAATTAAATTAAATTAAAAGGCAAACAAAGCATCATAACACTTTAAGTAAAGGGACATTTATCTCAAATGCATATAAATAAATAAATATAAGGTGTCGATGGTGTCTGTGCAAGAGCCTAAAATGCAGATGTAAAGAGGTGGGTCTTTATAAACAAGGGCCTTCATCGCAATACAGTTCGGTAAGTTTCCGCTAAATAATGCCCAAACACGATGTAAATGTGAATACATACACTTTTTTCGTTGTATCAAGAACCATTTTTTTAAACATATTTTTTTTTAGACATATAGTATTAACTGAATGATACGCCTATTTATATAAAGTTTCAGATTCCACACTCAAAAAACTTACAGGATGTTATATTCAAGTTATTTATTACCTTGGGTCTTTGGACCCATCGGTTTCAAAAGTGAGATATATTTACAATATCTACAGACAATACAATACAATACAATACATGCAATACATACAATACGATAAACAGTATGGAGAGTGCAACAAATTAAGTTAATTGGTTTCTTCTTACGTTTGCCGTTTTGATATATTTGGCAAAATTGACAAGTTCTTTTGTGTTATTTACATTAAATAGATTTATCATTTTTAAACATACTTGTTTTTTAAATTGTACTTTTTCAAAAAATTAATTTCAACATAAAATGGAACTCATCTTCAACATCATTTAAATTACATACAGTACACACTCTAAGACTACGCTCAATAATTTGATATTTACCTTTTTCTTTATTTAGATTATGAGCAGATAACCTAATTTTTGTAGTCTCTTTCAAATATTCTCTAGATGATGGTTTTCTTAAGTAACACTGTAAATCGAACTGGTTATAAAGATATGTATAGATATATCCCTTTGAAGATGTTCTTACGTTTTCGTTGCATTCTTGTCTATATATATCAATAAGTCTTTCTCTAATAACATTATAACACATATCATCATTTATTTCTGTTTCCCATATGTAATCAAGGCCAATTATGTATAAATCTTTTTGTTTTGTTTAAAACCCATTTATCCTGTTATCCCAGTCATATTGTACGCGCTACTGGTGTCATTTTGTGTCAACATTGGGTCAAGGTCACTTTGTAAATATAATCTGACGTCACAAATCAGTTAAACTGTTATGGTGTTAGCATTCAAGTAGATATTAAAAACACGTACAATTTTCAAGTTTTTCGGGAATGACATCCGTGCCAACAAGTTGTTAATTGTTTACGGGATGGACCCGTCCCAGCTTTTTCACCACTACTAGAAATTTTGACAAAAAAGGAAAGATTTATTATAGAAGTTTCTTTTCTGACCACTTCCCCCAAACCGTTTAACCCTGACCTTGACCCAGACTGGATTTGGATCTGCTTAGCCCACACGTCCGTGTTTGACCATTTCCGCCGACACGAGTGCCGATTTGACACTAAGTCCAGCCAGCTTGTAGCTGATTGCACAAAGTTGACAGGCTACAACCTTGTGCTTTAGAATGCATTTTTCTCTGATGAACTCTTCGAACTGTTTGCAAACTCTTCGAGCCTGGAATGTGTCCAGCATTTCCACCCAGCATTGCACTTGGAGGTAGTAGGCAGCCACCTGTCCCGGGACGTAGCAAGGATGAGAGGGTTGATCCCGGGCCCCCGGGATGGTCAGTTGTATCAGCGCGTCGTCGTCATCGCAAGGGGTCTCTATAGCTACGGCCTTCTCAAATTGTTTGACTGCTGTCAGTGTTGGTTTCTTACAGTCCATGAGAAAATTTCCATACATAAGATGAAGGCTGGGGGAGTTGTATATGAGACTTAAAGCTTTTTCGAAATACTGGACTGCTTTTGCTTTGTATTCAGACATTGCATGTTTCGTTGTCTCATCGCATTCCGTTGATTTGTTGCCGTATAAACATGCAATGTTACTCAAAACATTTGTATACGACGCTGCGACCAATTCGGGGTCGCTTTCTTCAATTGCAAGGAACAGCCACAGAGCCTTGTCGCAGTCACCTTGCTGTGAGTACGCATGGGCAAGTGGCTTCAGAAGGGCTGGAACGGACAGTGCTGTGAAGGTATTTGGCCTAGAGCTCTTCTTAACGTAGCCGGAAGTGACAGCGTTCAGCTTGACGACTTTCTGGAAGCACATTTTAGCGAGGTCTTCTCCGATATTGATACAGCCGAGGTTCCATAGGGTCTCTACACTAAACATATAGATGACAAGCATGGGTTTCAACTCTCCTTGCAAGTGACCGAATTTCTGACTTAACTTAATAACGCTGAAACATTCAAGCTTTTCACACGCTTCCATCAATGCCGTAAACGGTTTTCTAATAAGACCTTCCACCTCTTTCTTCGTAGCCTCTACGTCATCCTTGGAATAGTGACCAATGAGATTGAGAGGGGGGAGGAAGTAGTGTGGTATCCTGTGTATATGGAGGGACACAGCGATGTATTTAAGGAACTGCATGATCTTATCCCCAAGAGAGTCCAAAGTCCAGCTCCCGGAGGCGGACGCGACCTCCTCACACAAATAGTAGAATGTGTTTTTCATATGGTATGACGTCAGAACGGCTCGATCAGACAGGATGGATTTTAACATCACCTTGACAACAGAGTAGCAAGTTTTCTGGAGATCGGACAACGAATGGGACAACACGCGTTCAGCCCGTACAAAGGAGACTCTCCATTCCTCTGTCGGGTCGCTGCTCTGGTGACTCCCCATCGCGACCAGAAGACAACCATCTAACGGAAGATACAGAAAATCACACATTTCAATAGTACCTTAAGTCTATATCAATTTAAGCTAAAGTCCTATAACTGCAAAACTAGTCAAACATTTACAGCATTGAAAATTCAAGAGTTAGATACTAAAATGAAATTAAATATAACACAAAGAAATAGTTAAAAGTCACAGAATGTTACGTTCTTTTGTGCTAAAATGGACAGTTGGACTGTGAGAGATCTTTATTACATGTTTTGATTGAAGTAACGTCAATTATATATATATCCATGATTCATGAATTTCTAGGAAAAATCTCCATGATATAATACTTCACAGAATATATGTATTTGTCTTGAAGTTCAGTGAATCAATGAAACATATATATTTGTTACATATATCAGAATCTTAAAGCACCGACGTCTTAACGTTTGTCTGACTTTGAACAGACAGCAGTCGCCTGGTTTGTGCTGTGCCATCACAGAAGTTATGGCTTTGTTTTCAACACATACTTTTGAGATAGATTTGACACCTTTGAAAAATATTAAAATGTGAGTCATTTTTAAGTTGACCGCAACAAACTTAATGAATCTAACCTACACGTACCTTGAGGAATTTTCTGGATGAGAGTTTCGCCTGGCCAGTGACACTTCCGTGCTCTGTCCGCCCATCCTTTCGCCACGGTCGGCCAGGTGAGACAGGGAAACGCATGTACGAAGTCATATGTGACCCCCTCACCGGCCTTATCGATTTCTGTGATGGCGGGGCCACTTTTGGTGTATATGGGAGTGTAGCCCTGGGAGTCAATCCCGGTCTCTTTTAAGGTTTCAGTCACCAATTGATCCGTACGGGAGTATATAATCTCTGTATTTACATTCTCGGCGACAAATTCTGATGTAAATGCAGTGTTGAGGAGGTAACCGCCTGATGTTATAAAATTACCGATAACACATCCGGGTTTTTTGACCATCTGCCGGCCATGGGGGGTGACACGGAGCTTAACGTACCCGGGGTTTGGTGTCGATTCTATAATAGCGAAAGGTGCTTTCGGTTCTTTTGCAGGAACACCTATGGGACTTCCGGTTTGCTGTTTTCCGTTGGCGTCGTCCGGCTCTTGAACGCTGCTGATTTTTTCTGCGTCGTATTGATCATTTGAAGATGAGTTGCTTTCTGCCACAATATAGTTAAGGTAGATCATGTCAAAGTCGAAATCTAATTCCGGAAAGAACACATGAGAGCCGTTATGGTCTAACACCCGGGTCAGATGTAGATCATCGTAAGAACTTCCAACTTGTATGACCTCTATGCCTTCCACCTGGGCGTTCAATAGATCCGTGAATAGTTGGAATCTCGTTCGGATCAACTCCATAGTCATTGTAGTGAGGTCGTGTTTCTTTATCACAGTCGTCAGCGCATCGGCGTACACACCAAGTACCTGGTTGTCGGGCTCCATGGGGGTAGCTTCAAATTTCAATTTTAGAAATATTCATCAAAGTTCTTTCATATGCACGGACAACCAATATTTGAGTGGAAGTCTCCCAGTTGGTGTTATATATATTCCGATGACGTTTAAAATTCCAATGGATTATGGACTAGACGTCTTGGCCTAATATGTCTTTCACTTAAACAGCACAACGTTATCTAAATGTTTCCTGGATACCAAGTAATCATGGAATGAGAGACAACACATTGAACTGTGGTATGGTTGATAATACAAATCATGCCCTTGTCGACATTGGTTGATTTCGGGTTTTTTCTGACGTAATATGTAGACTACGTGATACAGTGCTAACCATTTGCAAAACGAAAGTACGGAAGTTATTTTTGATTCGTCACGCTGATAGACAATCATTCGACAATGTTTTGACCATAGACTAGGCAATCAATGCATGGAGAGTCATGTGACAGATGTATAGAGTGATTCAGCATTATAAGACTAGGTGTAATCGATAAGTATTAGTTTCGCGGTGGTATTGCGACATGTCATGAAAGAGTTGTCTCCCTTGGACCACTGACAACGTTCATGCTGAAGTTGCTCCTCTTAGAACACGTAAAGCATCCTTCGTCTACGAAGTTTCAGAAATAGTCAGTTTTAGTAGAAACTGATTCCGAATGCTTTTGAAATGGTTATGTATTGTTTAACATCTCTTTACAAATATATGCAGTTTTGACAAGGAAAATACTTGAGAAAGAAATATTTATTCCTGGCGATTTTTTTATTTTGTTTTGTGTCCTGTCAAATACAATCAAGTATATGAAACGAGGTATTCGTTCAATGTTTCGGTTACTAATAAGTTGTTGTTTGGCGTTCTGAATCTAGCTGCATTAACATGTGACATCCATCATCTTTTATAAAGGCGTAAACAACATTCGCACATGCGTAGAAGAATGGGCTAAACATCCAGTGATGCTTTATTCAATTCTTTTCAGTTCAGTTTTCAGTTCTTTTCAGCTTATTTGATATAGCTAGTTACTAAAATGCAAATGGGAGTAAAATATCAACCAAATGACACCCAATTCATTTAACCATTCGAACGTGAAAGTCTGTGGTGGCCCAGGAGCTCCTCAAGCGTTTTCGCAAATAACTCGTGTATATGGCCTACACCAATGACTGGTCAAAATCGTCTCACACCGTGACGACTGAAAACTTAATATCGCATAATGCCGCGGACGTCACACATTGAGGGGGAAAGAACTGTTGGCATGATCCACGCGGAATCAATAAAACTTTCGTTGAATCGTCTGAAACAAGGCTGGGTGAAGCGACCGATCCCGTGTAACGACTGCTCAGGAAGATCTCCTGGTTTGGCTTCTGCGAATAAGATCGCAACGGCCTTGCTTGGTCGTCCAGTAACTACACAGTCGGCATATTCCGTAAACAAGAATATATTTTCTCGTTTACGTAAAGTGTCAACGGTTCCCGATTGAGGGCCCAACGTGACACAACGATAACCGTAACAACCGGTTTAATTGAACCGGTGAACACCGTCTTTGGGTGTTACGCCAAATGAACAATGTTCTTTTCATGTACGAACCCAGCTTCTTCTAGTAACATGTTGATGAGAGGGCCACCATAGACTTTCAGTTTTGAGACGAACGAGACCGTTTTAGTGGCGATAATGCAATGGCCTGGGGTGTTGTTTATGGCGGTAACCGTATACCAGACTTGTTGTAATGGCTGGGAATTGATTGGATACCTACTCGAGACGATGTTTTTTAACCGGTGGTACTCACGTTTTCACAACGTCGTGGCGCTGGCGGTCCTTCTTTCAACAAGATAACGTGCCAGCATACCAGTCGCGTCAGGAGAACTTTTCTGCAGCAAAACAATGACCATCCGAAATGTCGCCGATAGAGCACGTTTGAATTCTTGGACAAAGTTGTTAGGAAACGTCAAAATTAGCCGTCTAGCTGAAGTTAGCTGATAAATGGGACAACATCCCCGCTCACATTTCCAATTCAATGTGAAAACACTGCAACACCGTTATCGGCACAATCGGTGGTCATACACGGTACGTAATACGTACTTAGGAAACTCTTTCTGCTTTAACGTCTAATACAATCGATTCAGCGCGGATTTTTTTTCTTGATTTATGACAAATTCATAAGCCATCATGATCTTCAATGAATAAATTGATACCAAATTGATACAATGGCAACACAAATTATGAAATTAGCTTGAAGTAGTGTTAAAAACCTCTCTTTTAAACCGAATATAGCATGTGATATGAATTTATTTCTAAGTCATTATTGTTAAAGCGTGTCAAATACAACTTTTATGGTAAAAAAATTGTCATAATGTGACGTGTGTAATCGTGTATCACACCGAACATAAGGAATATATCTGACAGGACGGCATCTTTGCGCGTATAACTTTCCAGCCTCATCACCATCGAAGTACGAGCAGAGCTTTAAAGGTAGGATCTATGTCCCACTGCAGACAAAACGCTAGATAATTCCAATGTAGTTTTACTTTCTGCAGTAGCCTCCCATTAATTTCGTGTAAGATATGTATAACTATAGCGCCACTGGTCAAGTAAACCATCGTTGACCAGGTAGCTGAGTTGGTTAGATCGACAGCCTCTGGAGATTCGAATATTCGTCTGGCTCCGTTGCAATTTTCACCTGAAGAACACATTTGTTGATTTGTTTTGATTATCTTATCTATACTATTGTTCATAATTGTTCCGGAAGGAATTTGGGATTCTTTTCAGGAATGGTTCATCAGTGCTTTAGTCATGCAGGGGAGAAGCTTGTGTCAAACACATTTAAGGAACTAACGAAATACAAGAGTTATTCCCCTTTGAACGGTGTTTCTATCGAATTCTTTTTGAGGCCACTGCTCAAAACATCAGTCTCTAAGGAATTATTACAAACATTTTGTGTAACATGTTGATATTTTTCACCATTTTTGTGACTGAAAGGGGAAAAACGGAAAAAAAATTACGCATCCGAGCTGGAACCAATTTCACTATACTTTAAATGTCATTATCACGATGGGTCAGTTTCGAAAATTCAGGCGCGTTTTTGGACTGTATAACAACGTGCATGTGCAGTTTATCACCTTGTAATCACAAAGGCCCCGTTGCGAAAATGTGAAATAGAGGAGCTCTGTGGTCCTATCTGGTCCTATCTGGTCGCTTTTGAGAGCAATATTTGAGTTTTTAATTTATTCAATATTAGGAGGCTTTTTTCTTCTTCTTCGCCTTCTTCTTTATTTCAAAATGTCTAAAATAGTTATTGATATGACAGAAAATAGCTTTAGAAAAAATTGGAAAAGACCTCGAAAATGATTAATGAACACTTTAAATAAAGAACCGCATTACTCAGAATCTTAAAATCTCCTAGAATGCCTGTCACGCTGAGATATCGTATTACTTATAAAACGAATATCGGTTCTTCTGTTGTTTTTTCTGCTACAAAAAGTGTTAACTCTCTGGTTTAACATTTTGAAAACTACATTCAAACATTAAATTGCTATTTCGGATCACACACAATAAATACAAGTTAAATAGTAAACAGAAGTACATGCCACCGCATATTTGCTGACGTGGCAGCTACGCTCCAGAGTAAGCATTAATTCCTACCAATATCTGTACCTGTCTTGTGTCATTGTACACGTGTTGTCATTGTAACGGAAACTTGAGAAGCTTATATTGAAATTCCCAATCAAGATTTTTTTTAAAATACATGTATGCGCAGATTCAAAGAGCAACACTCGAAAAAGCATCACTTCATTAAAACCTACAACAGTTTCGTCTCACTTTTTTATAACCGATAATTTTTAAGTTTGAAAAAAGAATACATGAACCTTTTAGACAATAAAAATAACTTACATCTGAAATAAACACAAAAGTAGGCCCTAAAGGCTTTTACTCTAAAATCATTCACAGATAACGGTGTTTTTCAAATGCTGTATTTTTTGCCATTTAAATAATGATGCACTCTCTGGGTATAAAAAGAAAAGTGTGCGCTTAGCGTGGGAGGAAACCGGAGTACTCGGAGAAAACCCACATGGTCGGGCAGGTGACCCCATTCCTTTTCACGTCCGATCGGGGAATCGAACCCCGGCCGCCTTGGTGAAAAACAGGTGCGCTATCCACAGTACCATCCGACCACCATTAAAATGGCCCTTTTTTCTGAAGAAATATTGGGGTTCAACTTAGCAATCTGTAGACACCGTTTCTGGTATATATCCGACAGTGTGCCGTTTCATCCAATCTGTCTTACATGTAATATAACCCAGCTAGAGTTAGGATTTGTCATAATCATCGGTTGGCACACCGATCTTCCTCAGAGACCGGGTAGTCCTAGGGACGTTTCTACTCTGTGGCCTTTCTGTTGTTGTTATAGCCACCGTCACTGTCGTATAATACATTTTAAACAAGACCTCAGTTCAGTTCAGATACTCCGGTTTTTCCGGATATTTCCGGAGCACCCCGCTTAATCGTGGATAGTCATACGGGAGAGTCAGTTTGCATTTTGCTTTTCGTATTCAGGATACAAAATCAGGTATCCATTTTTTACACGAATAACAAATAAGTGAAGAGAGGGTTATGCTTTTCTTTAACTTAGTTCAACTTCAATGGGTCTCGAATTAAGCTTTATTTAGACTCAGCTTTCGAATGAGTATGCTAGAAGGTCACGGAGTAGACGACTCGAGTATATTTCATCGTTAATCGCAATCGGGAACTTACGGCACTTTTCGTAAACGTTTACGGAAAGTAACGACGGTTCCCGATAAGGATAGTCGATCCTATATCAACAGAAGAACACAAAACATTTGTATGTATTACTTTCTTTTATTCTACATCAAAAAGCATGGTGTGCTTATACCGGAAACGTTTACAGTTCGGAATATCTGGTTTCACTTCCGTCATTTTTCGGGATCTTCATGGTGTGTTTCTTTTACTTTTGGTGTCTCCTCGGTTGTCGAAGCAGAGAATAACTACCAGTTTCAAGGACTTCTGTATGTCCAAGCAAGGTGACATAACCCCAAAATTTAACTTGCCCGTCTGTTACCTTATGTTCTATAACTATTCATCCTTTTATTGAAGCATCATACAATTGCAGTAACCAGAAAACTACTTGTCAGACATTCACTGTGAAGGTCAGAAAAAGTTGCGGCTCAAAAAGACATGGAAGCGTCATAACGTCTTTTCATTTCGATATTTTGTTCAAATTTGATTTTTCTTTTCTTCAAAAAATACATCCGATCATTCAATATTAGAACCCTAACACCTACCGTATACCGTAATGTTTAAATGTATAGAAAC